TTTCAACCATCAGTTTCCACGTTGCTCTTACATAATTGAACGGTCACCTAGTCGCGCAACGGCTCTGTTTCTTGTTGACAGCTCCAACGTTGCATCAGCCCAAATCCGAAAAGTGCTAAGCTGGACACCACCGCTTGGAAGCCTTGAAGTTTGAGTTTGAACTCTTCCATGGATGCTTTTGGGGGGCCAAACCCTGGGTTCCGAAATCCTGAAACCAAAGTGCAACGGCGGATTTTTAGGCGGTCACTCTGCAAGCAGCTTTTGTTCTTTGCCCTGGCTCCCGTGACTCACATGACTTTCCTTACGAAGTCCCGAATTCTTGAACTCAAAACCTCCAGAACCTTAAATTAAAGCCCTAAACCCTCAAAACGTCTTGAAAGCCTTCAAACCCGAAAGCAAACGAATCTAAGAGCCAAAGCCCTTAAAGCCCTCAGCCCTTGAACCCTCCAGGAGGATTATGGGCTGAGTCCTGGACAGATCCAGTTGCTCTTTGCTGTCTATGGCCTATCCTTTGGCTTCTTCACCTGGCTTTGCAGCTCGACGGTTCTTTTGGTGTGGTTGAGTCTAGATGGTTCCGGAGATAGTGCTTTCCGGCTTTACTTTGGGAGTTCGGGGTTCAATTTTCCACAATTTTTTGGGGCTTCGGGTATTCAAGTTTATGGGACCCCGTCGCTCCCGATCTGGAGAGGCTAAACTCTGAGCTCCATCCCAAAGGCTTGAATCCTAAGTCCGAGTGCCAACAGCGCGGCAAAGCCCCAAACTCCAAAGTCGTCAACCCTTGAGCCCCTAAACCCCAAACCCCAAACCCTAAACCCGAAACCCTGAACCCCAAACCCAAACGCCGTAGACCTCCGACCCGAGTCTTCAGCCTGTGAAGGTGAAAAGGCAGCTGCGCAGATGGGCCGAGTCATGGCAGGTTTGCTCTTCAGTTCCCATGTGCCAAAATGAGAGAACTTTGCTGTTTTTTTTTTTTTTTTCTTTTTTCTTCCTGGCCCTGGGGTTTAATTTTGGTTTGGGGTCCCTTGATTTGGACGAATTCCTCACCCCATGATCTAGAGCCCGAGGATGTCAGCGACTCGTGACCCTTTAAACCTTGCACCTCTCACTAAGTCCCAAAGCCTAAACCCTAAACTTCCCGAAACCCAAAAGCCTAAACCCGCCAAGCAGTAACCAGAAGCCCAAATCGACGGACGCCTAAAGCCTAATTTACGCGCTGAGGCTCTGCAGGGGTAGTCTGCCTCTTTCTGCTGGCCTACCTGAGGCCGGTGGAAATGTCCGAGTTAGAGGATGGGGATGTAGGAGTCTGCGGGATTTTAAGGGGCCTAAGTGGTTTCTGCGTTCAGGGTTTCGTGCCTTGAAAGTCTTAGGTTTTGGAGATGTACGGCTCCATGATTTGAGAGTCTAGCCGGAGTTTAGCTCCTGCTCCTAGCCGCCCCGTTGCAGGTTGAATGTTTGGTAGTACGATGCCGTGGGATTTCGGATCCTTGTATCTCACCCAACTTGCGACGTGCACGTGCTGCTGGAATACCGCTTGATAATGCGCCTGTAAGAGCGCCACTGGATGCCGTGATTTCATAAGAAGCCCGCGAGGTTGGCACAAGCCTTACTTTACAACCACTCCAAGCAGATCCGAAAATCAACAATTGTGGAAGCGATCTTCGTGATAACCTTGCCAGGCCCTCCCCAGCCTTACGGACGGCAGAAAGCCCCCCGAAACCTTGTAGAGTCTAAACATCAACCCGAATCCCCAAGCGGCCAAAGAAGCCCTGAGACGCAGGTGGCTTCCAGCTGTCCTGTTTGTCTTTGTGATCCGAGGGGCCCTGGCCAACTCGCTTCCCGCTTGCTTTATTCAAGGCTTTGCCGAGAGATGCGTGTTTGGGTTTAGGGTTTAGGGTTTCCGATTGACGGGAAGGAGCTTACGGACATTGTTAGCTGGATTGCAAAAGCAAGCCATTCCCAGCAACCTCCAAACCAACCCCAAACGAGAAACCCAAAATCCGAGAAACTCAAAAGCCTTCTGCATCTACTGGCTTCAACTTCGCGGCAGCTGTTTCTCAACCACTTTATCTTGTAGAGTCCACGTGGAGCAGCTGCATCAGCGTCGCAAAACAAAGCTTCCATTGCAAAAGCTTGAGAAAGACGCGCTTCCAATCTGGAACCATCTCCCCCATGTCTGCTCTCTAGCTTCAGACTCCTAAACCAGCAAGCCCAAAACACCTTAGCCGCAAGCCGCAAAACACCAAACAGTAACGCCTCAAAGCCCCAAGGTTTAAACGGAGAAGACTGCAAGCCCCTAATCCGCTATACCTCAAAAATCAAACCCCCAAAGCGCGAACTAAGGATCTATCCGATCGACAAGTCGATTCTCATGGATTTTGTGCCCTCCTCCGAGTACGGGCGGTGGAATGCTGCCGAGAGCTACCCGGCCGTGGGCTTCAAGGAGTTGAGGGGTTATCATTACTATTATTATCATTCCTATTATTACTACTATTCTTATTACTAGTATTATTACTACGATTGTTACTACTATTTTGGACTCGGGCTTTCGGGTTTAGGGGGGTTTAGTGTGCAGGGTTCAGGGTTCAAGGAAAAAGGCATAGTGAGGGTTTAGGGTTCAGGGTTTGGGGTGTTGAAGTTCAACGGCAGCAGCAGGAGCTGCAGCTGCTTCTGTTGTGGCCGTAGTTCGTAGTTGTGGTTGTTGTAGTGAGTGCCAGCCAGAAAGCGGCACCCACCCACATCTCCTCGACATCCGGCAAAAAGAAGCACCAAGCCCACAGAAACAAAGGCATCAGCAGCATGTCTTGGTCTGGATCGGCAGTCCTTGGAGGCTGGGCACACGGGTTAGCGGTGTGGCATGAGACCCTCTGTCCGAAACACTTACATCCCCAAATAAATCCCAGAGCTTAATCCCTACACCTTGGATTTGGGACTTCGGGTCTTTCAACACAGAGGTTCCCAGAATTTGGGGTTGTGATTGTCATGGCGAAGCTCGTTTAAGCCATGCTGATTCTGGATCCGACACCGGAAGCTTTACAATTATCGGCGGCTGAAACACCGCAGTATCAAACAAAAACTTAACACCTTACATGCTGAGCAGGGCACGTACTGACTCCGAAATGAACAAGCCCAAGAACCGAAGCCCAGAATCTAACAAGCTTTAACATCCGATGCGCCGCAATTCCAAGTTCATCAAGGGGCTGCGAGAATCTTGAAAAACCGTTAGTCGCCCGTATGCTTCTCTAAGGGTCGGACGTAGGAGTTACTTAAAGACTTGCGACGTCTGTGAAACCTCTGCTTTAGGTTTCACAGAGAGTTCCTGGCTTGCTATGTAAAATTTCCTTGGGTTGACGCGCGATTGGATTCCGAGGTAGCGGTACAAGAGGATTCTGAGTCTGTTTGAATAATCGAGCACGACATTTTCCCTCAGAACAGAACTCAAACCAATACCATCTGCATCGCTGCCTTGAGATACTGTTAATTACGCAGTTACTGCTACTGTTCCCATGACGCATTTGGATGGATTATGACCCTCGGTTTCTCCGTCATTGAGCATAGTAAGAACGTCAGTGGGGTTCAAGTGCCGCTTGTGTGTCAGTCCGACTGCGATTACACGATTCCACTCGTTGTCATTATTTCATTTGTTCCTGTTCTCGTCGGGATGTTTCTACTACTGCTTCACTCTGCATCGTGACAATCTAGCCCTGTAGCATCTTCTTGCGATGAGGCTTTTGTGAGTCAATGGTCTTGTTGATACAATGAGCTGTAAATTTGTTGTTCTGCAAATTACAAGGGCGCTTGATGCTGTCTGTGATGCCGTGCTGACTTCGTCTTTGTGTGTGATTCCGCTTCCATGCGATTGCAGCCTCTTAAGCAAGCTTAGGTTTCGTGCCGTGTCCAGCCAGGCTATCTCATGGATGCCTATGACTATCGGCAGACCTTTGTCATCACAGCCTGCATTTATGCAGTGGCTGCACTCATGCGGCTGCCTCTCTTCTTCGTCGTTCCGCGCAAAGAGGCTCCCCTCCGAACTGTTCGGGCAGAATATAGCTTAAAACGAGTTGCTCCTTGTTCTTGGAGTACTCGGAACTCTAGAGCGCGTACAGACTGCAAGCTGCGAGGTGTCGCCGTCACAGCAGCAGCTGCTCACCCGCTTGGTCTCGCACGAGGATGTGCAGAGCGCCATGCTCGCATCCGTGCGATCGCGCAGCTTTAGAAGTGTGCAGTTCGAACTTTAGTTTTCAGCTTGCACCAAAACCCTCCACCTTAAAACCTTATGCCCAAGAATCTTAACAACATTGCCAGCCCCTGATTCCATAAACAATCCCAGACAAATAATGAGACTCCCCCAAGCCTTCGGACCTTAGACACCCCAAGTCCCCCAAGATCCCGAAGCCCCAAACCCCCCCAAAACCCCAAAACCGACTCCGCCCCAGAGAGCCGCTCCTCGGTCTGAGAACTGCAGTTCGAGCTCGGAGCTCCCTGGGAAAACTCTGGCGAAAAAGGGCGTGGGCTTGGGGTTTTTTCCCGTAATAGAAACCCTGATAATTAACGGCTGAATAGGTATCCTATAAAATCCATACAAAAAGCCTGTCTCGGAGTTTTAGGAGGCTGTTTTGCTTTGCGTGTTGGGCCCTACCGCTGCTGGGAGGGAGATGCCGTCTATATCTGAACTCTCAAACTCACAGCCTCGCTTCCAAACTCCAGACTATGAGCCCCAAAGCTTAAGGCTTGAATGTAGGCGTAAGGGTTTACGGTTTAGTGCTTTTGGATGCTTTTGAGGATACCAGATTGTACTGCATCGCAAGAGTGGTTTTGTCGTACCCGCTTGCCTTTCCACCCCTGCATGCTGAACCCTACACCTGCAGGCCCTGAGCTTGAATCCTGAACCACTATGCAAGCCCTGCCCAAACTCTCATCCCAAACCCCGATTCGCAAAGGCGGATTTCAATCGCCAACCCTCATCCCCCACACTCCCAACCTCTAAACGGACGTGCCGCCAGGCTGCCGAGTCGGTGGCCGAGGCAGTGTCGATCTGGGGTCGGGGGTCGGTGTTTGCAGGGTTCAGGGTTTGACTCTAGAGGTCGCGAGAATCAGGAAGAGCCTCGGCGCATAATCCCTGTGTCGTTGTACCGTGTTCGACCCCAAAGCCCTCTGGTTAAGGTGTGGGCGTCTTGGGGAGTGTGAGCTTTGTAGCCACTTCCAGTCGGGGTTTGGGGCTCCGGCTGGAAGGGCCGGTCAAGCAGTCAAGCGTTGCTTTGTCGGTTTGGAAGGGAAGGTTGGTCTGAATCAACATCTTGCGTTTAGGATCCTTGGCAGAGGGAGCATGTATACCAAGTAGCCCAAGGCCGCAGCTTGTGCAAATATGAAGCGCAGTTGATGTCGGCAGCCCTGAACCCAGCTCAAGCATCGAGCTTCGTGAGTTAGTCAAATCCAGCACTGTTTCCCCGCGATCCCATATCCATGCGTTCCAAAGTTGCCGGCCGCGTGTTGCTGCTCCTCTTGTGCCTGGCCGTCGTCGATGCGGTTCGCAAAGCAAGCATGCACAACGATGAGATCGTCGGTGCTGCCCAGGAGTATGAGAAGCAAGAGCACGCTGAGCGAATTGAGCATGAGCATCTTCAGCAAGGGCATGCTGACTCCAAGCTTGAATGGAAAACCAGCTCGCCAACAGGAACAGGTTACGGGTGCCGCAACGATCATCAGTGCGATGACCTAGGTGTGAGTTGCTTCTGTGCCAACAGATATTGTCACTGCTAGAATTGCCACCATGGCGATGCAGCAGTTCGCTGCTCTGAGACAGATGTTCTCATGCTCGCAGCCCCTTCGCAACGATGCCAGCAGTTTGCTTCTATGAGTGAAAAGTGTCAATGCCACAGGTGTCTAGTTTTGCCGTGAGAGGGCGTCTTTAGCAGGGGTGAGGGTTGTGCGCGCATCTCTGTCAGCCGCTCACACTTTAGCTCTTGATCGTCGGGTTCACTCGCTAGGAAAGGCGAGTTCGCGCTCAATTGTTTAGCACTGGGATCCAGGAATTTTGTCTGTTCTTTTCCATTGCTCCCTTGTGTCAGGTGGCCTCGGAGGGACAACAATCGGTGCCCCGTTTTGAACCGGTGTTCTGGAACTTGATTGGGGCAAACGGGTGCTGCAGTATTCGCTTTTGAGTGGTACGCTGATGATCGTATGCAGCCCAAAATCCAAATACCTCAAGGAGATAAGTCACATGCAGTCATATTTGTCCACGCATGTATGGCAGCTGGCCTCGGTTCAGGATGTAAGGGCCCGTTGCCTTTAAGTTGGCAGCGGTCCCCACGAGTCGGTTTAGGATTTGGGGCTTGAAGAAGGGAGCGGAAGGAGGTCTCGTTTGCAAGCCTTCTGAGTTTGGAGGGCGGGAGGGGATGTGGGCTGCATGGTTGGGCTTTTGGATGTTTAGGCGTCTATTAGGAAACCTTGAACCCAAGGATTCCGTTCACGAGATGCCAATATCCTGAAGCCTCAAAGCCAGGAGCTGTAGTGAGGAGCTTTAGAGCCGACAGGTTCAACCCTTAGAGCCTTAGGGTCTCATCGGGGTTCCTTCTCTGTAGGGGTTGACGTTTAGGTCTAGAGGTTAGGGTTGAGTTTGGCTGGGGTTCAATGCTTGCGAAATGTAGGAATGTAGGGGCTGAGAGTTTAAGCTCGACTTCGTTGAGGCGAGGGAGGTTTTCATTAAACCCCCAAGCGCCCTGGAGAGGTGGAGGAGGAAGAGGAAGGGCGGGAACCCCAGTATTCCTTCGCACTTGGAAGGGCAGGGGACTTAGTAAGTAGGTTATAAGTAGGGTTATAACTGGGGTAACTCCATTTAGGGTACTTATAACTCTACTTATAACTTACTAAGTCCCCTGCCCTTCCAAGCAGGCTTTGGGGGTTGCAGAACGTAAGTTTTAGTCCCCGATAATTGTAAGACAAAAAGCACCCACACCTATCTCCAATATTCAGTCCGGTGTAAGACTTCTCAGGGAAGTGGGGTTCAAGATTTATGGGGATTTGCGGCTTCGCAGTTATGGGGTTTGATGCTTCAGGGGTTTCGGGGTTCGGGGTGTCGAGTTCAGGGCTAGGGCTAGGGTGCCACATTCACGCTGGCATGACTTGTTTGTATGCTCATAGCAGTTTTTCAGTATCTTTCATGATGCGTTGTTTCTATTTCAGCTTTCAAATCCCGATGCACCATAAAGGGCGAGTTGTCGGCTCTTCCCTCGGAGAAGTCGTGAATCATTGAGGCTTAGAGAACATGTAACAAGCAGACAGTTGTTCTTAATGATTCATGTGTCCTTCGCAGCTCACACCTCATAGTGCGAGGCTTTCACAGAAGTTTCGTGATGTTTCGCGGTGTAAGCAAGAATATGCGTGTAGCCGGCCGCCTGATGCCCATGGAATGGTAGACCCGCACAGCACGGGCTGCAATTTGTCATCTCACTACAGTCCCACGGGGTGCCAGTCGCACGATGGCATTGAACCTGCTGGTCCTTCGAACAGAGGATCTCGACGGAATGCGCTGCTTCTACGAGGCCCTGGGCCTGCAATTCGCCAAACACAAGCACGGCAACGGGCCCACACACTTTGCCTGCGAGGCTCCCCACTCCTGCTTCGAGCTCTACAGGGCCTCCCCGGCCTTTCCTGCCACTTCTCCCCTGCGTTTGGGCTTCGTGGTGCCCTCTGTTGCCGATGCTCTCCAAGCCACACGGAATCATCCGAAGGCTGCCGTTGTACAAGAGCCGGCCGAATCGCCCTGGGGTTTGCGCGCCGTGGTACGGGACCGCACAGGGTTGAAAGCTTTCAGGAGCTATGCTACTCGATTGGGACCTTCCCCTGGTCCGAGTCTATTCCGTCTAATCTATCGGATAATCGGTCTCCACATCTATCTGCCGTTTTAAACGACCATCAGCCGAACCTGCGAGTGGCACATTAGTCGAACCTGCGAGTTTGAACGATCATGCGTATCAGGCAACATTGAAAGGTGGCTTGCTCTGGCCCTCATGCCTTGCGGGTGTTGGAATACCTAGAAACTCCACAAATTTAAGACAAAAGTTAAGCAATACACAAATCATATATATATATATATACACACATACATACATACATACATACATACATACATACATACCTGCATATATCCCTAGCCTTGGACGGTTGGTAACACGGGAGGGCAGGCTGGGGCCCGAGCCTCGAACTTCCTGAAGCCCCAAACCTCAGCTTCCACCCAACGATGTTGGGGTCTCAGGTTCTCTTCAGAAGCCAAAAAAAAATCAGGCCTATCAGGCCTAGACGCCGAGAATTCCAGGACCTTGACGGTCACACTGTGGAGCTGATCGAAGCTTCCGAAACTGCCTTGGAGGCCACGGTTCCCGAGGATTCTGGCGCCGCACCCAAACGGAAACTCGCAGATTTGCCGGAAACGCCACCAGCGAAAAACAGCGTGTCGGTTTCTGGACGTGGCTGAGGGTCCTTAGCTGTAGCATTTGTGGATGGAGTTTGAGAGCAGTATCCGCATGAAGGATACCTGCAATACCTACGTCGAAGAGATAGTACTCCAGATGCAACAGCACGCTCAAGTACGATGGTATGTTTTAATTTCACCCCCAAGATGCTGCACCTGAAATGTTAAGGCCTGATTAACACAAGCGTCCGCCCGAGACCCGACACCAGAAACCCAAAGCCTGAACCGCTCATGCAAAAATGGGGCTAAGAATAATAATATCCCCTTGTGGCCCCTTTGTTACAAATGAATAACTATTTGGCGTATGCCACAAAACCTGATTCTAACCGTTAACTAAGGGCTCCCCATGGTATTGAATCCCTAATCAACCCCCCCTAGATCTACGAACAAAGAGCCGAAGCAATCCTCTGCCCCACCCCCAAGGCCCAAGGCCTTTACTTAGGTCTACCCCGAACCCTAAAAGCTTTAAGCCCTAAACCTAAATCCCTAAACCCGAAAACCCTAAACCTTTAAACCCTAAACCATAAACCCCTAAACCCTGCAACTCGGAAACATCGGAACCCAGGCAGCCCCTCGCTTTGCCGGCCAGCTTGGTCGATTTCTGGGCCGCGTGGCCTCGGATCTTTTTCTTGCGATTTCGGTTGAGGGGTTTAAAGTCTAAGGTATCACGTTTTTTTACACTTGGGCACTGAGAGTGTCGGGCTTCAAGTTTGTCTAGGGCGGGTTCCAATTTTTTGACTAGGGCTTATGGGTTTAGTTCTCGGAGGGGTTTTCGGATTTTCATTAAGATGACGAGGGCAAAGGACTCGAACAGAATCCCAACAGTAGGTCTTAAGAGTTAGAGTTGGATTGGTGCCCTTTTGCTTTCTGCTTTCACTTGGGCTCTGGCTCAGTGCTTCGGGGCTTCTCTTTTGATGGCACCTAAACTTCAACCCCTTTTGTCTTCTTTGTGATGGTTTCGTGTGTCGGCAACCGAAACTCTGTACATGGAGGCTCGGGTCTTAGCAAGCAGCTGTAATCGTGATGGCAGGCTTTATCAGGGCGCGGTACCACGTCCCCATTCCCCTCAAGTAGGCTTTAGGCTTTAGGATGGAGATGACTAGAGTTCTCGCGCAGAATCCTGGAACGTACTTCCCGAAAGCACCGGCCAACCCAGGAAAACTCAAGACAACATAGCGTTGAGTTTCAACCGGCGATGGCCAACAGCTCTTGAACCCTTTATCGCACTCTTCAGCACCGTACCTTCGGCCCCAGAGCATCGGAGTTCCTGGAATGTAGATGTCGACTTACTAGGGACTAGAGATACGGGGCTCCAAGAGGCAGCTGGGGTCCCAGTCTGGTGTACAGAGCCTTCCTCTGAAGGGGCCTTTGGGCTCAGATAAGCCCGCGGTATGGGAGTTTTTGAATTAGGGGTACCTTATCTGGGGGTTCTTGTAGTAAGGATCCTACTAAACAGGGTACTTTGTTTAGGGTCCCCTGTTTTCGGAAACCAGCCCGAGGCAAACCTGATCAGCACAGAGGTGCCCTTCGTGACCAAGGCCCTACTCTACTCTCTGCTTGGAAGGGCAGGGGACTTAGTAAGTAGGTAATAAGTAGGGTTATAATTGGGGCAACTCCATTTAGGGTACTTATAACTCTACTTATAACTTACTAAGTCCCCTGCCCTTCCAAGTGGCTTTTATGCCAAGCAGCCGAAGCCTCGAGCCCCCTGAAGCCGAAGCGCAAAATCCTCAAGACCAAAAACTGCAGGGAAAACTCGACGAAGGTTTCCGGTGGGCTTGTTGTTTTTTCTTCAACGTAGATAATGGGGTGCATCTTACACTTTTCCGAAGTTCTATTATTTAAACCTAATCAAACTGTTGCAAACCTCCAGGTAAGCACCGTTTGCCCAAGAGCCTCGTTGGTTTTCAGGGCTTCGTCCACGATGCTTGGCCGTGTTCGCGAAGTTTGCTTGCAGAGTTCCGCAGCTTCAGTGGGTGGTTCGCACAAGTGGTTAAGGGTTTAGGATTCAGGATTCAATGTCTAGGGTGGGTTACGGGAAACTCACCCCAGCCAGCCCAGCCAGCCTAACCCCACAGAGCCCACCCCAAGCCAGCTCCAAACCTTTTACGATTTCTTCACCAAGCCATCCCAGCCCAGCCCAGCCCAAATTGTGAAATCAAAAGCAAAAAGAAAATGTTCAAAACTTTGTTCAGAACGTTTCGCTCAAAACCGCGGACCCAAAACCTATACAATTTCTATAAACCCTAAACCTCAAACCCTAAACGCCAAACCTCGAACACTCCGACAAGCAAACCTCATGACTGCCAGGCCGACGGCTACGTTCGCTTCGAAGTGCGTCGGAACAGCCAAGGCACCACCCATTAAGGGCTTACCTTTGGGAATGCAACAGGGGGGCTTAAGAAAAGAGGTAAGGAAAGGGGAGTTTGTAATACACATCTGTACTATGTGCATTCACGTATGATTATGCATGTAGGTACAGCAGGCAAGTTGCAGGTAGGTAGGTATGTATGTTATGCACGCATGCCTGTAGATTGTAAGCGTACATGTACATGCAAAACGAAACGTGTTCGTATATGTAGAATTGTCCACATAGCTTGCGGGGCTTCCATGCCCGTGCCTCCCAATCCATAAAAACTTATGCTGCCATCTCGCTCCCACCCCACCGCAAAGAAACCCCGTTTTGATTATGTACAGTCACAGGCCTTGATGTTGGAGTTCTGATCTCGGGTGGTCTTCTCTGGATCTGCGCCTCGGTTTCGGGATGAAGCAGTCCTTGCCTGGTGAGTGCCGACGTACGGATTAACTTTCAATAAAATGTCAGGGTTGTTTCCAGAAGCCCTGAGCCTTACAAGCATTCAACCCCAAGCCTAAAGGCCAAAATCTAAACCTTGATCACCTAACTCAGCCTAGCTCCAAGCCTCTTAGACTACATCCCAAACCGGCTAAACAGCTATGTACAAGACCGGCAGCAAACGTAACACCCCCTGTGAGGTCATTTGAACGTGTGGCCGCCATATTGGATCATTGCCTTCCCCAGCCGGGAAAACGGCGGAAAGCAGAGGCGTGGCCAGTGGGTGTCAGGGTTTTACTCTCGGGCTTGAATGACGTTGAGGTATTCTGCGATTGTCGCTAGCAGCTAGAAGGAGACTGCAAAGGAGTGCTATCTTCTTCTGTTGGACCTTGCAAAAGAATGCTATCTGTGATTAATCAGGGCGAGGCCCTATTCAGCCCATGTCAAGCCATTATGAATCGTTGGAGGTACCACACCGGCCTCCTCCACATCGGCATGGCCCCTGAGGAGGCACTGCCGGAGGCGCCTCTGCTGCCTTGTTTGTTTGCTTCAATCGGATGTAGCGAGGGTTTGTTTTATAAGAATGTCGCTGAGGGCTCTAGTCTTGTCAGGGTTCGATCGGAAAGTTTCAGAAACGATTGGATCCCGAAGTAGGGATCCATACAAGACAGGGTCCGAGTTTTTGAGAGGGTTTAGATGCCTATTTCTGAAACTCTCGCATACATGAGGCATAGATGCATAAATTGGTACATTAGTAGATTTATATGCATGTGCACGAAATATGCTCGATGGAATGAGAAGATAGACAGCAGGGTTGGAAAATGACCAAGTAGCTACAGGCATACTAGATAAACAGCCAGCCGTTAAGTCAGCAGATATACATGGATACGGCAACAAGTGAATGAATACTTCACTCAATGAACAAATACACGGGTAAACAGGATGTAGATTGATAGATATGCGAAACTGTTCAATACCAGTATATACATGCCCCTACACCTTATCCTTACAACCTACACCTGAAGCCTCAAGAGCGAAACTTTCGTCCTCACACCACATAATGCCCGGAAAGCTTTAAACCCTAAACCTTAAATCCTTGAAGTTGAGCTTTGCCTGCCAGGGCTACACTCCTCTTCCTGCCGAGCTTTCTGCACCCAAAGGCAAGGTGTCGAACTGTGCGGGGCTCAGCTGGGTGTACGTTTTACGGCTTCGAGGTGCGTCTCAGGGGTTTGAGATTTTGGAATTGCGAGGCCATGTTCATGTGGGATTGTGGTTCAGGATTAGCGTTCCTCTCGTGAAGCATCCAAGCAAGGGCTGAGTCGTGCCAGTATGTCAGGACGACGGAAGCGGAGCTCCATCCCGGCTTTAGGTTACCCCGCTTGTGGTTCCCGCCGAAGCTTAAAATCGCCACAACCTACGCAGTAAATCCAACTAAATCCCTAGAACCGAAGACGCGAAATTAAGTCTCGAAGCCTGCTGGCCACGTAAGCCTAATGCCCAGAGACTGGGCCTGATCTCAACACCCAAAACGGTAGGGTTTTCGGCCCAGCTTCAGAGTTTAGGTGAGGGTTCCGAGTTTAGGGGCTTTGTGCGTCGGACTGTTCAGGGGGGGAAAGAAGTCGAAGTTGTGGTTTCGAGGTGGGGGTTTTGGTTTCGAGGTGGAGGTTTCGGCTCAGGGGTCCGGCGTGAATCTCCACCCCGAAGCGTTTTCCCAAGTTTGAAGACTGTGAGCAGAAGTGAACTCGACCGCTCAGCGGCGAAGAAGTACCTTCAGTTCTCGCTGAACTTGCGGACGTCCGAGGCACGGTCGCGTGACGGTTTCTTTTAAGGGTTCCCTCAGGGTCGCTCTGCGGCTACAAGGGTTCTACAAGGGTTGGGGATCTGGATTTTGGTGTTGGTTTAGGGTTTGGGATTCGGTTTGCAGCTTTTGAGGCTTTGAGGCACAGGTTTTCGATTGACTGGCAACAACCGGTGTCCGTCAACAGTTTTCCGTGAGCAGACATCACCTCAGTTTCCACAAGATCTGCGATCGTGGCAAGCTTTATAAGGCAACAACAACAACAGCGTGTATGACAAGGTAATTCCCAAAGATAGCTGGCCGAAGCATGAAAGCGACAATGTAGGATCTTTGCACCAAAGAGTCCTCCTAGGCCTCTATCACAAGCCATGGCCCTTACTCTAAGACCCCACCCCAAGTGTCTACTAGGCCCTGAGATCTGATGCCCACGAAGGCGTTGGCAAAGGATCCTGGGACTAAGCATGTCAGTCATGATGGGGCTCGTCTAAGTCTAGTTATAACCTGCCCACTAAGTCCTCCAAGATCGCTCTTTGCATGTGGATGCGGCGTTTGTGATAATAAGTTTCGGTTGTTGGGTGCAGCGTTTTGCTGTGGGTTGAGGCGGTGATCGACCTTACTTCCTACACCGCCCCAGCCGTGATTTCTGGATCGTGCTTCTGCCGAGTTCTACCGCCCAAAGCTCTAGTTTATGAACACTGTCTAAGCGTTGATTAGGATTCAAGTTTCATCCATTCGGTGTTCGTGCTGGATGTTCTGGTCCATTTTTTCAGGGTTTACGATGTCTTGGTCTAGGGCTCAAGGGTTTCAGGGTTTACATAGGACGCGAGGGGTTCAGTGTGCAGCAGTTTGGGGGTGTTAGGGCGCCTTCTGCCAGGAGTGGTTGCTGCAGACGCTGCAGATCAGTTTAGGCCCGCGTACCATGTGGTGAGAGAGTTTTAAAGCTGTGGTCCGGAGCAGTGTTGCTGAATTCCTGCACCCGTACATGTTTCACCGAGAAGCCCGATGCTACCTTTTTCAATTGTCGGCTGCAGGGCTTCAGAACCAGAAGGTACGATGTGCGAGAGATGAGTTGGCAAAATCCCAAACGTCCGTGGCTTACGTTCTCGCCATATCCGAGAGCTCGATTTAGCTCACTAGAGTCAGAAACCCTCAATCCCACAGCCCAAGAACCGGTTCGGAACCTCTAAAGTGAAGTGACTTCATGCGCCTCGCGCTGTGCGGCTTCCTCTGCATGGCGGTGGCTGCCAGCGCTGCGACTCTCTTCCTATCTGGGATTTAAGGAACAGTCTAGTGGAGCGAAGAGTATGGCGGAGCTTACATCTCCGATAAGCACACTGCTTCGGGCCTTCTGCTCTAGCGCACTGCAGCTTGAAACCAAGACCGATTAAATCCGATACACCCTGACGATGGGTCCTCTCTTCGGATTGCATCTGCAGCAAGCAAGGGTCATGCAAAGGGCGGCAGTCTCTGAGGTCCAGCATAGGGGTCGTGCTACTTAGTAATAAAATAGATGCTGATGTTATTTTGTATGATAAGCTGCACCAGCACCCTGTTCTAGTCAGTCTGGCCCCTTTATCAGCCAAGTCTTTGCATGAGGTTCCGGTTCGAGGCTTGAGATGCCAAGTCCACTCGCATCCCTGCAGCCCTAACCAAGCCAGGAACCCAAGGGGCAAACTTGAGCCGAAAGCTTTTCTTGGGCCGAGGAATATGCGTGGAGCTCAGGTGTCTGGCTACGGCGAGGCAGCAGAACTGAAGCTTATGCTTGTGAGCGGTAGTGGTTGCATGCAGGTTGAATTTTTCTCGCGGCTTATACGGGCACTGTTTTGGTTTTACAAGATTTGATCGTCCAGGCAGTACTGTTTACGTGTTGCGGCTCAAATGGTTTGGGGCTGTTGACTTGAACGGCTCAGGGCTGAAGTTTGGAGATACAGCGGCTAGTTTTCAAGATACTTGTTGAACGGTATGAGGGTTGAAGTTTGAGGGTTGGTTCAGGCTCAAGGCTCAAGTCAGGAGTATGTCGTTGCGGTGTCGAGGAATCTAGCGCCATGACGGGCCCTTTACTTCAAGACACACCCTGCGCCTTCCGAAGCCTCAAGCCAGAGATCCCCACCCCAGAGCCGAGGAACCTTAGCCTCGGCACCTACACAGAAACCGTAGATCTTTAGGTCTAAATTCTAGAAACGATATAAGCTAAAGTCATTATCATATAACTTTGAGTCTAAAATGCTGATACCTCAAACTCTCGAACCCTATATACAGCTCCACTAACTTAAAAGGCCGGCGGCTAAAGCTACAGCTGCTTTCCTTTACTGCAGATGTTGCAGATATCGACGGCGCATGGTAACCTTCCAACAAACCTGCGAAATCTGAACTTTAAGACTCGGGGTATAGGGGTTTTGCAAGGACGTTCCAGGGCTTCGTAAGGGATTTCATTGTAAGGGTGGACCAGGGTTTGATTGTGGGTCTTATAAGGGTATCCCCGAGCCCAAGACATCATACTCATATGCTAGTTTGTTCAATTCCCACACCTCAGACCGTAAGCCCCAAACCAGAAGTTGGAGAGCCTGAAGCCTGGAGTTAAGTCCCTGGCTGGTAGGACCAATTGAAATCAGCTGAGTTTAAGAATCCCAACATACCCAAACTGCAAGCCGTAAACGTCTGCCGAACCCTGAACTCTGAACGTCTTGAGTCCAAAGTCACCCCAATAGCCTCAACCTACCCACATCCTAACAGTCCCCAAGCCCTAAACCCTTTCCTCCCGTAAGCCCTTAAACGTAAGCACCCTGAGCCCTAAACCCTGAAGCCCCCCAAACTCACTCTCACGCACTCGCGCGGTTCGTCAGTGCGGTCTATTTTGGCTATGGCAAAGCACCTAACCATAAATCCTTGCACCCTGGCTGGATCCTAAGAGACGTACATGTTCAGGGTTTCCTATCATTTCCTTGTATAAGTCCTGAACAAGGTAGGTCTTTAGGGTTCAGGTATCGAAATACAAAGAACACTGAACAACACCCATGGAACCCCTGTACTCTCGGTACAGGAACCCTAAAAACCTTAGGTATCGCGCACCCTTTCGCCAGGATCCGGCAGAGCTGCTGACGATCTCGGACAGCATTCCCAGGCCTGAATGTGTGTCGAAGTGCCAAGACCAACCTGTAAAGACGTAGGTGGTTTGGAGTTAGGGATGATGGTTCGGCGTTTAGGGGTTGAGGGGTTAGGGTCGCCTGTGAGTGGAGGTTTTCGGGGTTTTGTGGTGCAGGAGCTTCATGCGCAAAGAAAGGCGGATCACCAATTGAGAGAATCACGAAGCGTCTAAAGCCCTGGCAACTCTAAAGGGTTTCTCAACCACGATTCTGCTATGAGTTTTCAACCGTATGCTGTATGCAGATCCCCACTACTAGACGGGAAGCTCCAGCTCACGAAAGGCAGCGAAAGGCTGCGAACTGGGCGTAGGCTCTTTCATTTCAGCTCGCCTTCATTCACAGGCTCGTGACACCCAGAAGCTGTGCACCCACTATCCCTTGGACCTCGTTTGGTCTTTGTCTCCTCTATGATTCCCTGCACTGCTAGTGACTACCTCTGCATGTTGTTTCATTTCAACAAGTCAATCGGGCCAGTCCTTGTTTCAGGAACGTTCCAGCTCAGCTTTGATGCCTGAAGCCTTGTTGCGTGAATGTAAACTCCCCAGCCCCGAACTGCAAACCCCCGCCCCTGACCTCGTGTTGTTCACTCGGGTTAGGCTTTCCGTCAACACCAAGGGCTTTGTGTTTATGTCGTAGGGTTTTTTGCTGTGTTCGGCATTTCGGGGTGCGGGATTGGTATTTAGGACTTCAGCTTGGAGGTTTGGGTGGAGGGGTTCAGGACAGAAGCCGTAACTACTACCAATACTATGCCTGAAAGTGATTCATATCAGTACTCGCCTCACCGAAAAGCAACTTATTCTAAATGTAGAGTCCAGCTGTTCATTGCTTTCCGGCTTCACAAGGCCTAAGATGCCTTCCAAGGGCAGATTCCTCCTGGCCACTCGGCTCTTTGAGTCTTACAGTTTAGTGTGCGCGGTTTACGCCGTTTACGGTCTTAAATGTTGAGGTGCGGGCTAAAGTCTCAGAGTGGTTCATGGTTTTGAGTTTAAGTGTTTCTGCTACGTGGGGTGGCACCACGCAGTGCCCAGGAGATTCAGTGAGCAATGACAATACTCACAGCAAGAGCGCTCATGAGATTCCGCTAATTAATGAATGCCCCAATGAAAGGTGTTTGGCTGGGTTTTGAAGTTTGTAACAGAGCACAACCACTCTGAAGTGACATTTCTGTCGTTGATCGCGTGGTTTCGATGCACTGCGTGTTCCGAAAGCCAATTCCCAGGTCTGTGGCAGTGTCCGTTTCGAGGCACACTTGACCCTAATCATCTCGCTTCATGGACCAGCCTATGCCCCCACACTTCACTAAAACACATGAGATGCGCAACGATCCCAAAAACCGTCTGCATTCTGGGCAACACTGGCAGCTGGGTCCTGGACTTTTGTACTCTAGGATGCTCCAGAAGGTTTTTCAGGCTGCACTCCTTCCCCTAATTTGCCGAGGCGTTCTTGAATCACGCACAAGAGCCACAGAACCTTTTCCTATCTAGGTCCGGGTGCATGCCGTCTCGCTTGCACCGGGGGACTGCCGCGTCATGAGCGGGAAGACCCGTCTGGTGCAAGGTGCAGGGGTGCAGAGAAGGTTTAGGTTTAGGGATTTGGGCTTTGGAGTTTCAGGGTCTACGGCTTCGAGGTGCGACGGACAGATGCAACCCAGAGTAAGTCAAGAGAAACTTCTGGCTAAGCGAGGGGGTTGAATATTAGTTGTCATGTCCGCTTGTAGTACGATTATACCTTTTCACATACCGTGAAGCCCTTGTCACAATACTCAGGTCCATTTTTTTCACCGCAAGAATAGTCCCTTGTTGTTACCCCGACACTGTGAAGTGCAAGGCATCCCGTAGACTCGCCCAAGCCGAAGGTTTGGGATAAAAAAGGTGTTTCCGGAGGTTCGGGCTAACCTAGATAAACGGGTTGTGTGTACAGAGTGCAGTTAGGATCGGATGTCAAGCAATCTGAACCTCCGAGCAGGGACTGTTTGACTGTTGATTGACGGGACAGCAAAGGACAGTGGCTAGGCATCTGAGTAAACCTGCTGAGAGGCAAGCAGCTTGTGTGCCGACGCTAAAAGGTACGGATTATTGACATCTCTACGCGATGCACAGTTCAGTCCTCACGCAGATCCGATCAACATTGCTATTCCGTACAGTTCGTTTTAGCATACTTGTACTATAATATCCGCCAAAACCTTGTCTAAGCATTCAAGTCACCCTGTTCTACCGCCCTAGAGAACCTTGACTCTATTTCCAGCCAGTAAGGCCCCAACATGCAGCACTGATTTCCAGCGTCGCCAGGGCCTCCCTCCTTCCCGTACATCCCTGGCGGCGATCTTTGTGGCACCGTCGTGGAGGTCTCTGAGGTGCCTCTGGGTTTTGGGGGTTGGGCGCCGGGTCCCTTTGTATTACGACGACGATTACATCGGCATTTGTTTCTACTAGGGTACTGGTTTCTGGTTGAAGGTGTAGGGTTTGCTATTTTACTACCGGTATGCAATGTACTCCTGTTTCCACTACTACTAAGTACTACAGCTGCCGACGTCGAAGACGACGAGGATGCCCCTCGCCACGCCAAACTCCGAAGTAAGCAGGATAGCTCGTTGGACATGGAGGGCTAAGTTTATTCAAGTGCCACTCATAATCCGACTTACTCAGTCCACCCATGCCTTAGACCCTCAATGTGACCCCACTCCTCGCACAACCCTTCATAGCGTCAAGACCCTAAACATCCCTCAAGTGATCGTTTGGGCAGGCCATACATAAAGGACTTAGCTTTAGGATAGTCTCGGGCTTAGGGCCCTTAGGGTTTAGGGTTTAGGGCTTTGGACCTCGATGGCTGCCCATCTACGGTCCTTCAAACCGGCAAGGGCGAGACACGGTTCAAAGTTGGCGACGTCGTTGCTGCCATGTTCGACACTGCTGGACAGGGGGAGAGGGTCTCCGGCATTTCAGTCCAGGGGGATTGTATTTGCAAATGTTTCTTGTGTGCCGGCACTTGCAGCCCGATGACGATTTAGTGGACCTTTCTCATCCGGGTTGATGGCTAGGGAGGTTGTGCACGGCCATCTAGCCGGGCGCTGAGAGTTCCGTGGGATTCAGAGCTATACGTGCAAGTATTGCGCGTTTCAGGATGCAAGGGCTTGGAGTTTCCAGTGTTGGTTATAGCAGTTCTTACATGGGACTACAAGCCAGATCCTGAAAGCCAAATTTTCATGGTGCATCCCGAGACCAAACCTCCTAACCTGAAGCCACGAAGTCCCTAGAAAGTCCCTTTCTTGTTTGTAACATGAAAGAAACGCCAAGCCTAAAACCCGGATATTTTAGGATCTTCGGCGATGGTTTTCGAACAGCAACAACAACAGCAGCAAAAGCAACAACAGTAATGGTCGCGAATCGCAATACCTATCTCTCTACCAGTTGAAACCCCCAATGCCTAAACTCTGAACCCGAGCCCTCAATCCGAAACCTATTCCTTCCTGGTGCATGTCCAGGAACAAGAGGAGGAGCCTTGGAGCCACTGCTTCCTGCAAAAACGGGCCGCCAGGACCCCGCGGTGCCCTTGCCGAGTACAAGATCGTCAAGGCCCCGGACCGGGGGCCCTTACCCCATACCGTAACCCTGACCCGTTCTCTGTGTGTGTGTGTGTCTGTGTGAGTATACGCACAATATATGTATCGCTTTCACGCTTTCACGCTTTCAGGGCAATGAGTTCGAGTCGAACGCAGCCTTTGCTTGCAGTAATTAAGAAGTGAAACAGGGTAGCAGAACCTCGGGCACTGTCGTGTTCGATAGGACAAGTAGTTCCCCGCTCTTGGTCGTACAAGGTGCGGCCCGCACAACCGCACAAACAGCAGGGCAAGCTGACTGTTTAAGGATCAAGGCAGTAGGAACCTGACGATGCCAAAAGAACACAGCACCACGGACAAGGTCTGCGAAGAGACGGAGGCCTCGCAGAGGGCCTTCAACGTCCCGAAAGGTTCGGATCGGATGGGGAAAGACTTCAGACCCAGTCAGCCCGACACAAGAGAGGAGAACGAAACCAGTCTCACCCTCGCTGATCCAATGGTGGAACTCAATCAGCTGGCCCTGAGAGAGGCAGTCCCGGTGCAGGAAACAATGCCGAAAGTAAGTCCCAGCTGGGTCAACAGGCCGACAGGGCGCAATGCACTTCCATCCATGAGCAGGCGCTGAAACTATGGGCGCAACAAAGTCATGAAACTCAAGCCATGGCAACAGGATGGCTGCCTTCTGAAAGGTAGCAACAGCTGACTGCGGGACAGCTGCATCCTCGCCAATCCATTGAGCAAAGTCAACTCCGACAGCGAAGCGGGCAGCAGATGCATGCCAGGAGGCCCAGCGAACATCAACATCCTCGTCGGCGGAGAGTGCCTCTTGCAGGTCTGTTTGCCACTGGACAGCAGTCGCTCGCAGGCGTGTTCTCTGGAGGCAAACAGATCGAAAACAGTTCCGATATCTGTCAAGAAGGTCGTGCCAACTCGTAACAGAACCAGGACCGCCATGAAAAAGATCCTCCAACATGCGAATCACAACTGGATCTGGACGGTTGTGTTCCTCAACACCAACGGTGCAGTCCCATTGCTGGGTCGGACCAGACGCGGTGACTGCAGGTTGCAACTTCTGGCGACCATCATCATATTTCCTACTGCCCTTTCCAGGCTCTGGTGCAAGACAAGTGCCTGCATTTTTGAGAGCCCAACGGCATGGGGCTGAGTGGTCAATATGCTGGCACAGTCTGGAATTGCAGGCAAAATGGCGCAAGCACACCGGACAAAGTGTCCCACTGACAAGTGTCCGTGACTCTTTGACGCGACCATGCCGTTTAAAAGCATGATGGGACCACTCCCGGAGTCCGCCAAAAGTACATCCACAGGGCCCGCAAACTTCTCGCTCATCCTCATCACATTGCAACTCTAGAGGGACAGCAGCTCCAGCCTGAGTGAGGATGCGGTAAGTCAGGCCTTGGAATTGCTGGACCTCGGCCTCCCACAGTTCTCGCAACAGAGCGAGTCGACGCCCCCGCTGTACTGTCCGTTTCCAGGTAGATGGCTGATCCCTGGCTAAGGCGACAGCAGCAGCCCATTCGTCAACTGCAACAGCTGGAGTACCAGCAAGAGACAAGGCTTCGTGTAACCACGAGAGTGAACTTTGCATATGTCGACACCAGTCACCTTCCTGCCGCAAGATTGCCCACAAGTCGCAATTGGCAGTTGGCAGTGGCGACGACTGATCGAAAGTATCTCAGGCGCTCGACATGCACGGAGGCACGAGCACCCAGAATCCGTGCACTGGCGAGAACATACAGTGCACTGAGGTGGCAGGCTTCCTCAAGAGTGAAGAAGGGTCGGAGCATGTTCCTTGCCATAGCAACCAGGGCAGACTGGATTTTGTCGATGTCGGCCTCGGCTATCCTAGGCCACGCTCCCACTCCGAAAAGGAGTGTCGATTCAACAAGGGTCGTGAAGAGTAGAGATTTATCTCTGGTGGTTACCACAGGGGATGCCAGGACTTTTTTGCGATGCTTTCTGAAGGCAGCCCAGGCTGCCCCAAGTCGACGTTTAAGTTCGCAACGAACACTGCCATCGACATGCAGCAATCCCCCTAGATGTTTATACGTGGAAACAAGGCGCAGGCGCGCACCTGGCCAGCACGATGCCGGTAGCGCAAGCATTGGTTCCTTGCCAGCGAAAACTTCCTGACGGATACGGCGGGATTGCGGGCCAACAATGTGCAGCAAGGCTTCGGTCTTGCCGGCCTTGAGATTCGGTAAAAGAAGGGCCTGGATGCAAGAGTCGAGAGTGACAGTGGCTGCTGTTCTGAGAACCTCAACAATTTGCTCCGGTCCTGTTGCCCAAAGCAGAACTGCCAAGTCGTCCATCCATGTGACATCAAGAGGAGACATAGTGGAGTCACTCTCAGGGCCGGTGCCAGGGGCTGCAAGCAACCAGTCTGCATGCCAAGGGAGCTCAACTTGAATGCCAGCCGCATGCAATTCGGATCGTATTTTCTTTGACACCTCAGCGAAGAGGAACGTAAAGAAGAGATCTGCAAGATTATCACCGGGCCGCGTTCCACTGTTGACAACTGCAATGCGTTGGGAGGTGCCAAAAGAAAACCAGCTGTCAGTGTTGATCTCCTTGAGGATTTGGGCTGTCCATTTGGACGATCCGGCATCCTCAATGAGGGAGGACTGCCGGACAAAGTCGTGCAATCTGCCAATGGTGTCAGGCTGAAGGCCTAGGTCCCGTACAACACTGGCGACCAGGGTATCACTGGGGACTCCTCCGTGCAGAAGCGGCCTTGCCACACGATGGAATGCTTCACGGAGGTCCAGGAAAAGGATGGCCGAGCATCTCTTGGCATCATGTGCGACGGCCTGAAAGGCTCGCACAGCCTGGGCAGCAAGGACAACTGGCTGACCCCGACGACCTCCTACCTGAAGGGGCGTGGTGGTCGAGTCAAGCAAGTCTGAGCACTTGGCCCGAAGTGCCCCGTGGTAAACCTTGCCTACAGCTGAGCTGACAAGGATGGCCCGATAGTTTTCACAGTTGGTTTGGCATCCACGCTGCTTCCAAATTGCATGCAGAGCCCCACCCTTCCAATGGATGGGTTCTTCAAGCCGGAAGCTTGCTTTTAAGGTAATCTGGAAAACGGCTTGTGAAAGTGCGGCTGTGTGCAGATGGAGTAGGTCAGCAGGGACTCCGTCATTCCCACTGGAGCGATGGCAGGGCGACTTTCTCATACAACGCTCAATGTCAAGCCTGTTTGGCACTTCCTTGGGATCAAGGGAAAGCTCACCGAGATCAAGGTAATATTGACGGTCAGCACAGGCTGCGACGTGACCATGTGGGTCAGTCGGTGCCCCATCCTCGACGCTGCTGAAGTGGCGAAGCCACCGCTCGTCAGCTGCGTCTTTGTCAGCGGCAAATGAGCCGTCCTCAAGGCAGATAGCCGGCAGGGCTGCTGTTCCCCGCTGCTTGCGACGGGGAGGACCAATCAAGGGTCGCAACTTTTGTACTGTGTCCTTGGTGGAGGAAGCAACTGCCTGGTTGGCAACTTCATGGGTGTACCGGCTCTTGTCTGCAAGGATGGACTTTCTCAGCAGTGGCTGTAGAAGGCGGAGGTCGCGTACATGACACCCAAGTTGTGCGACATCACGGAATGTCCGGCCAACTGCTGGGACACTCAGCAGAAACGGGTGACTTGTGGCCCAGCTGCGGAAGGCATGACGAAGGCTAGTCAGCCCAAGTGAGCCACTGAGTTTCCGAATCGCCTTTCGCAACCAAACGCGCTGCTGTCTGAGGTCCCAGGTGGTGTCACTAAAGAAAGGGCGCTTACGAGCAGCCCGCTGTGCAGGAAAAACCTTTGCAAGTTCTCTGGTGAGGTAGTTCGAGACCCTGTCATAATGGGTGTGGGCATCGACATCCCAAGGCACTATGGGCAGGTTCTGGCAGATAGCAGCAACAATGGGTCCTGCTTCCTCGGCGTGTAAGCGGGAAACATCAATGCGTGGCAAGTGATGCCGAGCAGCTTGGTTGCTGTCTAGCCAGGTTTGCGGCAGAACACAGACACCAAAGTGATCAACACCGACCTGGCCGAAGTCTATTTCCTGCAACACAAAAGAGCCACCGTCTGCGCATCCCCACAGGCATGGAATCATGACGAAGTCGATGCGGGATGAGGCTCCTGAGCCTGGTGCTAGCCAGGTGACTGACTCTCCATGATGGCAGTCCGGGTAAGTCGACGGTACCCAGAGGTCGTACTCGTGCATGATGTCAGTCAGTGCTTCCGGCGGAGCAGGTCCCTTCTCCCAAACAAGAGGACCAACGCGACACGGTATCTCGGTAATGAGCCTAGCATTAAAATCCCCTATCAAAACTAAAGGCTCCCGCTTGGTGGTGCGTTGAAGTCTTTGTTGAAACAGCCTCCACCATTTGTCTCTTTGGGAGTCAGTAGAGGTGGGTGCATGGAGCACAACTACAACAAATCGCACAGGGCCCCGTGCAATGCGGGCAATGAGTGTCCTCGGGCACCAGTGCAGAACCCGCACATCCTCCTGGCAGAAGTAGAGAGGGGTCTTGCCAGACCAGGCAAAGGGCACTGTGCGAGATAGTCACAGCTCAACACCGTGTCCACCCTGTTCATCACGTGGAGAGAGGTATCTCAAATGGGTGGCAGAGACAACCGTTTCGGCACATTTTGATCGAGTTTCCTGAAGACCTGCGATGCTGACCTTCAAACTATCAAGTTGTGCACGTACATACGGGACTCGGCCAACAATTTCTTCCCCCCTATCTTCTTGAAGCGTCTGCACATTAATGGAAACAATGCAAGGCGCGAGGCAGACAGCAGTGGTCTTTTCAGTCTGCGGGGAACCAGCAGGACATCCAACATGGGGACCAAAGGCAGTCGTGTGAAGCTGCTCAACAGTGGGGGGGCTGCGCCTATCGTCGGCAAGGGTCGTCCCTTTGAAGGTTGGCCAAGAGGCTGGATCGCGGATGGCAGCAACAAGAAGCCACAACCATTGAATGTCTGCAGTAGCAACCCATTCAGCAAGGCTGGCA